GTGAGAGAGGGAACACAAGCAGGGGGAGTGGGAGAGGGAGAAGCAGGCTTCCCGAGGAGCAGGGAGCCCGATGCGGGGCTCGATCCCAGGACCCTAGGATCATGACCTGAGCCGAAGGCAGATGCTCAATGACTGAGCCACCCAGGCACCCCCTTTTCCTGGTTTTCTAATCTTAAAACTGCCATGGACATAGCTGATTATTTTATGCTACAGTGGCTGTTTCTACTCCCGTTTCAGAGATGGGGAAATCCAAGAAAAGAGATTTGAAGGCCCTAAGGCTAAAATAGTGTTAGGAATCTGGAGGTAATCCCTCCGTTAAAACCAATCTTGTTCAATAGCCTTCCCCTATTTGCTTTATCATGTAGCTCAGGACACAACTGTGTAGCCTCACTTTACCCACAACCACCCACACATCACATGCATCATGTCCTACAAAAAAAAAAAAAAAGAAAAATTCCTCTTCTTATCTTCCCTTACGTGAAGAACAGCATCTCACCCTCACCATATCTACCTAGTAGCCTAATCAGAAATCTGTGAAATAGTTACTCTTCTTTATCTTTCATCTTAATTAATCACCTGGCTTGACTGATTCCATCTCTTACGTGTCTCTCGTATCTATCTCCTCCAGCCTGTCTGCAACCCACCACTCTTGTTCACACCCATGGCCTCTCTCCCGGATTACTACAACTGCACCCAGTCTCAATGCCCTCCACTTCATTACCCGCTCTGCTAGCAGTGTGTTCAAATACACGAATTTGCTCCTGTCACCAGCATACACACAATTCAGTGGCTTCCTGACCCCAACAACAATGTTATTCAACACTGGGTACTTGGTACAAATGCAGATTTCTGCGCCATAGCTCAGTCCAACTCAACTGAACTTCCTTAGGGTGGAGGTCCCCAAATCTGCACTCTAACAAGCCTCCCAGATTATTCTTATGCACAATAAAATCTGGATAAGTTATAATTTTTAACTTTATGTTACAGAAAATTTCAAAATTTTAAACATTCAAAACTAGAATGAATATTATACCTAAACTCTCACGTATCCATCACCCAGCCTCAACAATTATAAAACACATGGTCAATGTTGTTTCACCTAGACCTTGATCTAGTTCCCTATTAGCCCCCACCCTCACCCCACCCCACCAGATTATTTTGAATCAAATCCTAGTATCATTTCATCCATAAATTTTTCAGTTTCTATCTCTAAAAGAATAAAGGACTCCTTTTAAAAACAACCACACAACCATTAATATCACACTTTTAAAAAAATTAACAATAATTAAACACGTAGACATTGTTTACGTTTCCCCAGCTGTCTTATAAATGTCCATACATTCCCACTGGTTGATTTGTCTAAGTGTCTTTAAACTTAGGTTCCCTCTCCCTTTTTATTTTCCTTGCAATATATTTATTGAGAAAACTGAGTCATGTCCTATAATTTCTCAAAGTCTGATTGGATATGATTTTAATTCCTCAGCATGGTACAACAGAAACCTCAGCATGGCACACAAAACTCTGGTTATCCAGCCTCATCTAGCACTCTATACCATGTACTCTGTATTCTGGCAATGCCCAGTTACTTGTAGTTCCTAGAACATACCATGCTGTTATACCCTTCTGTGCCCTTGCACAGCCCCTCTCTTCCCTTCTAACGTCCTCTGAGCAAGAAGTTCTTTGGACACTGAGGACTCGGTAAAGATTCCTTCCTACCCCCAACCATGTTAGCCATACTTACCCACCACAGTTGGCTCCATTGGAACCTAGATGCATGCGGGGTTCACTCGAGGCAAGCTTGATCAGCTCATTCCATTCCTTCTGCCATTCATCCTCTGTGTACAGCAGGCCTGACTGCGTGAAAGACAGGCAGGGGAGACCAAGCAGTTAGAGGCTAGGTGCACGAGGCAGCAGCTATTCAACTCACTCACAGTGCCCCACTCCCTATTCTCTTAGCACTTGGCTTACACCGTGTACTACAAAGTCAAATCTCTTCTCCCTTTCCTAGTCAAGGTCCACAACAGAAGAGTCTATGATCTCTCTTACACTTATTTTTCTTCCATTCTTTTCCGGCCCATTTCAGTCCAGCCTACACCCCTTGCCCCATTTACACCACTTCACGTAACTGACTCTGGCAAAGGACAATGACCTTCTCTTTGGTTCTCATCTTTCTTAGTCTTCAGGTAGCATTTCAACTCATTAAACTTCCTTCTCCTTCAGCTTCTGCAACACTATTTTCTCCTCTCTCTCTCAACTCTGTCTACCCTAGCAGTATGGGTGTTGTGTCAATAATATTAACAGCCTTGGTTCCTTCTGGGTGATCTCTTCTACTGCCATAATCTCATCTACTGCCATCTATATGCTCAAGATGCTAAAATCTCCCTCTCCATCCCAGACCTCCTCTTAATTTCTATATTCACATCCAGCTGCCTACTGAAGATTGCCCCCTGCCCATGACTGCCTCAAACTCTATACAGTCAAAACCTGAACTCCTACCTCTTCCAAAACCCACTCTTCTTCCTATATTCCTGCCTTAGTGAACTGCACTGAATATCACCCAAACACCCAAGCTAGAAATGAGGGACTTACTGAAGACTCCTCTCCTTTTACCCACCCCACACCTGGATTCCTTAGTCAACAATTATTAAGCATGAACTACTGTAATGGACCCTTAACTGGTTTTACTACTTCCAGTCAAGCATTCCTCTGATCCATTTTCTACAATGTTACCAGAAAGATTTCTCTAAAATTAAAATCTGATCTTTGCTTCCTGCTACAAATTATCTTAAGAACTATCATGACCTGGGGCACCTGGGTGGCTCAGTCAGTTAAGCGTCTGCCTTCAGCTCAGGTCATAATTTCAGGGTCCTGGGATCGAGCCCTGCACTGGGCTCTCTGCTCAGGGAGTCTGCTTCTCCCTCTGCCCACCCTGCCCCCGCCCTGCTCATGCTCGCCTGCTCTCTCAAATAAATAAAATCTATTAAAAAAAAAAAAAAAAAAGAACCATCATGACCTTTTAGATATAGTTCAAAATCCTTAAGTGTAGCATACAAAGTCCACTTCCTGGCCCCTACCCACCTCTCTAACACATCATTTAATTAGCTGTAGTTCCTTGAATGCACTGCGGTACTTTGTACTTCAGCTTTTGTCTAGCTTGTTCCTTCTGCTTGGAGCAGCCCACTCCCTATCCACCTGCTGAATAATTTCTCAACTGTCAGGAGAGAACTCAAGTATCTTCTTTATGAAGCCTTTCCTAAATCTTCCTGGAAGACCCACTCCTTCCTTTTTGCCCTCCCTCCTCAACTGCTGTACAGACTTTATCACAGTTGGTACAATTATGTATTTACATGTCCATCTCCGACTACTACTCTTAAGGGCTAGGACCATGTTTCAGGCAATATGCTAGTGCCTATGATATGATCAGTAATTAATAAATACATGCTGAGTGAAACTATAACTTTTATCAAGGAGATTGGAGAAGTGGTAAACAATTTAAAAATACCATTTGCCTTTAGGATGTATATGATAATTTGGCAGACAAGTCTATGTTGTTAATTGTATTTGGCTTACATTAGTATTTAAATGAGTTTATACTGCTTAAACACACACTGACAGTAGAAAGAATCACACTGAAAATATGAGGGGCATGAGGAGCAAATTTAAGAAGAATTAAAGAGCTGTTTTAGCACATTTTACTTTATTTTTTTTTTAAGATTTTATTTATTTATTTGAGAGAGAGCGAGAGACAGCATGAGCAGGGGGGAGGAGCAGAGGGAGAGGGAGATCCCAGGACCCTGCGATCATGACCTGAGCTGAAGGCAGATGCTTTACCAACTGAGCCACCCAGGTGCCCACATTTTACTTTAATAATAACAAAATGACAAAGTTATGTTCTCCTTGTAAAATGCTGTAACGAAGCTTCTCAATTAAAAATAAAAAGAACAATGCACAGGCAGTAATGTACTGACTGGGTGCTCTGGTCACTCTTGTCTTCCTCTCACCTATTTCAGCTTCCTGTTTTCATACATGCAGCCACTAGGTGGCGTATCCTGCCAGCCTGAAAATGTCCTTACTGGTTTTGACTTTTTTGTTGTTGTTGTTTATTCATTTAAACAATCTCTACACCCAAGGTGGAGCTCAAATTCATGACCCCCAGGTCAAGAGCCGCATGCTCTACCTACTGAGCCCCCAGGCACCCCAACCTTATTGGGCTTGACCACTAATTTCAACAGAAAACAAGAAGGCCTGGGAAATCAAAACCAATTTAGTTCCTATGGAGTTTGGTCCTGATTTAAAGAAGCGTCCCAGTCCCTCATGCCTCCCTCCATTCCTATGCCTAAGGTGCAGCATAATGCTATAAATAGTCTCAACTAAAACAATTCTCTAGGCCACATTTCCAATATGGAACTTTTAATGTGCTGGGCAAAAGGAGTAAAATATTGCTCCTTTGATAGCCACTACTCTCTATGCATGTATTTCCACTGGGGACTCTGAGGGGGAACAGGTGGCTGACCAAGAACAGAACTTGGGTATTTCTGGGTCTCCTGGCTAAAGCCATAATAATCTAGCCCCACCTTTAAAATAACTACAATAGCTTAAAAGCTGGAATTGGGCATACCTATTCTCTGACTGTTGTTGTCACTTCTACTTAATAGCTGAATGCTCTAGTTCAGCCTTTTCTTGACTCTGGAGTGTCAAATGTAAGGTTCAGGGATGGTGTGAATTCAATAGTGAGGAAGGCAAACTTTAGGCTGGCTCTAGCTTAAGCAAAAGAAGCTCTCCACAAGGTCCAGCTCCGCTCACCAAGGAGCCATGGGACTTGGCAGTAATAAAGAATGCCATTTACTTGGCCTTGCCCCTGTGCATTTATTTCCCTCAGGAATCCTCTGGGGCAGATTGGCTGATCAAAGACTCCATTCTGAGCTTAATACCATCCTAATTTTAACAATTGGGCTCTTTGTTTTTAAGAGAGAAACATGACACATTCTACCTTCATATTTTAATCTTCAGGATATAAAATTCTAATAACTAAAAAAACCCTCTTAGTTCTATATAATGGCCAGTTATGACAGAGCAATAAAAGGCAACAAGAAAGAAGATGGAAAGAAAAAGGAAAGTTTCTGAAGAGACAGTCCCATATTTATGCCAGAGGACCTAGTCATATACATGGCAAAAAAAACAGATATTCACAAAGAGCACAAGATAAACACAGAAGACAGAGAACCAGGGGAAGAGGGAAGAGGGAGACCTGTTATCTTTATGTAAGTGTACAGTGTCATTATTAAAGTGAGGGGTCGGCAAACTCTTTTATTGCTCCATCGTAATTGCAGACAGTAAATCTTTTAGGCTTTGTGGGCCATATGCAACTACTCTATTCTGCTGCTGTTCCATTCTACACAAGGAAAGCACTTAACATAAACAAACATACGTAAATGAATGGGGAGGGCTGTGTTCCAATAAAACTTTTTTTTTTTTTTACAAAACTGTTGGTGGAATTTGTCCCACAGGCCAGTTAGCTCAACCCCTGTTACGGGGATGGAAAGTACAAACAGTCCATTGTTACTTTCTTATACAAAAACAGTCTCAATATCTGCTGAACTCCTGAGAAGTACCATTCAAACTCAATTTAACGGCATGTTTTTAAAATTTTTAAAAAACAAACCGAGTATATGAAAAGCAAATAGTACATACAGCGAACAAAATTTTTAAGCATTTACATTTCTGTAAGAATTGAAAACATAAGTCCTTAAAAACTGGTCTAAGCCTTATTATAAGCAAAAAACCCCAAAACAATAAAAAATCCTGTGGACTTATCATATCTTATTTTGCAAAAGATTTCTACTGAAGACTTGGAATCTATCAGGTAAGAAGCACAATGTTAGCTACCTCCTCTGTGGGTCTCAGCTTCACCATACTAGTTCTCATGACTGTATCAGCCAGGCATGGGTCCTGTGGTGTCTTCTGCATTTTCTACAATTTCCAGGATTACAAGGGGAGTACCACCAATTAAGCACCAGGAGACACTGCCTACTGGTACACACTGAGCATTTCCTGTAGCTAACTCTGGGGGACAAGGTGCTCCCACCCAAACTCCCTCACCTCTTTATTCTGCTGTGTTTGCTGCCACCTCCAGCGCCGTTTTAATGCCTCCTTCTCGGCTCCTTTCTCCATCAGCGCATACAAAGCTTTCCGCAGCATCAAGTCCCGATCATGGAAACCCCACATGCCTGTGGCAAGAAAACATACCAGTAGGACACCTTACATTTATTAATTATGATGCACATACCCTAGCATCAAGGCAATCAGGCTGAAGGCCAGGTTCAAAGAAACCCCTGTGACTTAGGGGAGAGGTACTTAACAATGAGAGAAAAGATGTTCCTACTCTGGAGGTTCAGAAACTTCAAGAACTTAAAAGTGGGGGATCCACCACATCCTACAAACTCCTGACAGAAAGCCCCTTACTCATATGCAAGTCTAACAAACTAAAATACAGAGTAGCAGCAGAAAAGATGGGTCTGGCAAATGGCAATCAGCATTAAAGCTGGAGGGATGGTTGGAACATGAGGACTTTTTTTTTTTTTTTTAA